TTATTATTTAGTTCAATCTTTAAATCGTCTTCATGCAATTGTTTATAAAATTGATCACCACGGTCGGAGTTAAAACTCCGGTGGAAAAAATGATTTTTGGGTAACAACCATCTAAACCAGATTTATCTAGGGTCACTTGGAAAATTTCTAGTTCATAACGATATCTTTGACATAATTTTTACATTCATTATCTGTTGTTCCAACTGCTGACCTGACCTGTATATATTAAAATTTTTTTTATAGTATAAGGTTTAATGCTTCAATTGACTTTTACTTTAACCCAAAATCAGAAATGACGCCCAAAAGAATTCCCTAGAATCTCTAAAGATCATTAAGATTTAAAAGGTTTATTTAATCGTGTTTGGAAAGTTTCTAGTTCATCTTTTGTCACGTCAAACATGTTATTCATGAATTTGCGGTAAATGGTCGGCATTGGTTGCCGAAATATAAACAGTAATACAATTTTGAGAAACAATATGCACAAAAAAAACCGTACTCAAAAAAAAAATTTTTTTTTTTATTCATTCATTCAGGAAAAAAAAAAAAAATATTTTATTTATTCATTTATTTTTATTCATTTAAAAATTTTTTTATTATTTGTCTATTTTAAAAATTTTTTATAAATACGGTATTTTCCCCGTTAATTTTTTTATATACCATAAATACCATCCATAAATTGCAAATTTTTTGATGTACCGTATTTAAAAATTAATTAGAATTATTTCTTCTTTCGAAAGTTATACCAAGCATATTCATGAATTTCAATAGTTAATGACAGCTTCTCTTTTGAAGTTAATAATCTCTTCGCGTTTTGGATTATAACTATACTAATTATTGTCGCAAAATATCGCAAATGTCACGGGAACAGACGGACATAATGCATAATGAGCTAGCAGATTTTAAACGTGAAAATAATGTGACCATTTGATATAACAGCTATCTTCATATCAATTTAAAAGAAAGGATAGGTATGCAAAAAGAAGTTATATGTCGTCATGCAATCTTAATTAATACAATTTCAATAAAATGCAAGGAGAAGTTTCATGTAACCAAAACAAACATCTAAAATAATGATAATCTCAATAAAATCAATGAATAAATGATATCAAAATAGTAATATATGAAAGAACTATGAAATAGGGGTTCACTGAGTAATTTCTCTGAGTCATAATTTCAACATACGGTACATACAGTGTAACCATAGTACAGACACAGCCTTATAACAGAGTTTTATGGAAGTTTTTATTCAAAGATTATGTAATAATATTATTAATAGTAATAATAATAATAATAGTAATACCATTCTAGTAGTATTCAATCAAATTTTTTAACGGATAATTGGTTTATAATATTTATAACAGATATAGTACATAATGAAACTTTTTATAGTTATAAACTTTAATCGATTCCAAAAATAAGTATTTACTTTATTTATCGAGATACATTTACATAGTATAGTATGTTATGTTAAATCTTAATTTTCACGTTTCAGTTACAAAAAAAAACATGAAATTTCGCTTAAATATTTCTTATATAAAAAATTATGTTCTATTACTAAGTATTTATACTCTTAAATTTCTAAAAATCATATTGTAACTGGAATAATCCCAATCTTATTCTAATTTTAAGACTTTTGGTTTCATTTAACTCTATTTAATCTAAGAAAATCATTGATCAAGTATAATCAGGTATCTTTATGATCATCGCAGGACATGGTATTGTTTGACTATCAATTATTGAAACCGTTTGTCGCATTGCTTTCGATATTTCCTTGAAAAGAAATCGTGTTTCCATCAGAATCTGATCTCATTTCTCCCTCAGGAATGTAAAGAAATGACCTCAAATTTAGCTCGAGATTTAATTTTTGTTGCGAAGTTAATTTATGTTTTCTTTTCAGATCATTCACATCAAAATCAATTCCATAAATTTTCTCGTTCAATATACTTAATATCGAAGAAGATGGTAAAAATTTACATCTAACGTGTTTTATATCATTTGAAATCTGGTAAAAAAATTCGTAATCGCAATCGTCATCGTCACTTTGATGATAATCTTGTAAAATTACGTGATAAATGCTATAATCATTCAGTGGTCGATAGAATAATCCATTATTCAAATGCAAGCCTTGTTTTGGTAAATTATTCGGGAAGTAGCTGGTAATGATAAATAGATAAATTAATTATGTATCAAATAAAATGTTAAGGCATTAATTATTATTAATAAAATTAATGATTTAAAGGACACAAACCTTCTTAATAAAAGTTTTCCTTGTAGAAAAGGAAGAACGTTCTTTAAGCTTTGTTCAAGGTTTAATTTTTGATTCCAAGTTAATGTATATTTATACTTTAATTCATTTACATCGAAATCAATTCCGTAAATTTCCTTATTCAATATATGCATAATCAAAGAATGCGGTAATAATTTACATGTAACATAATAACTAGTATATAAACTCTGCTGGTGAAAGAACTCGTAATCGTAATCATCATTATAATTTTCTGAAAGTTGCCAGGTCATTTTGAAAGTTACATGATAAAAATTATTATCATTTGGTGGCTGATAAAATAATCTAAACTCATTCAACTGCAAGTTTTGCATTTGCATCGCTACTAAATCTAAATCAATAAAGTAATATAAGATATTCTATTGGGCAAGCCTGAGAGTCTTTTTTTCCGTTAAACGTTAAACGTATAATAAATTCGTATCTATTTCATTTATTTGTTTTAAAAAAAAAAGAACTATAAAGTCGACAAAAATGATTAAGGGAAGGAAAGTTACGAAAAGATTCTCTTTATACGTGGAAACGTATCACGCGCTAATCAAATAATACAAATGAAAATCAAACTTATGTGTTTGAAAATTCACTCTAACAATGTTTGTATTTATACAACGAACAAAAATAATTTTGTTTTTCATTAACGGTGATGAAATTCCGATTAAAGGTGTAAGATTGAATTGTTTATAAACGACAGGCTACGAAAGAAACCGTCAGAAATAATTATAAATCTTTAAAGTAGTTCGCGTTAAGCAAAGAAAAGAAAAAACACAAACATGAAAGTTTGATACTGTAATGAAAAATAAAAGATTTATTTTAATTTGAATTTGGAACTTTTATTTTTTTTTAAAAAAAAAAAAACCAATAAATAAATTTTTCTTGACCCTTTTAAAAACTTTTTGTATAATTAATTATAAAGTAAAAAATTTTTTTTTTATATAATGTCGATTTTTCCTGAATTTGAAATTGAAAATAAACTCTGGCCAGGATTATATTAACTACTAAGGTGAATTTTATGAATTAGGAAAGTTACGTGTTAAAGGCGATGTGTTACTTGAAATCTATCTTTGGTTAACTTTTTTTTTTTTACTTTGATATCATGCATGGCGTCAACCTTTATCTTTTTTTAGATTGTTATATAATATTTTAATCATGACAAGGTTTCTTGATAATCAAAAGAAAAAAGAAAATATAAATCTCAATACCCTCTCTAATTTGTGACGTGCATATTAACACAAAATTTTGGTAACGTGACTTGACCAATTTTATTGGTCAGATTTAATTTGTACAAAATTTAGAAAATTTCGCGAAACGAAGGAAATCAAGTTAAAATGCTTATAGTCTTTAATTAAAAAAATGCAAATAGTCTATTAAAAAACTTGTTAATTCCACCTTTATACTCCTAAGCTTGTAAAAATTTTTTAATGTACTTATATTTAATACGTTATTAATTTAAAACAATATAAAATATAATAAAATAAAAATAAATTATAAAATAAAAAGAATAATACGCATTTTAAACCGAAATTTCGGGAAAAAACATATTTTATTGCGGACTATTTTATCGATATATTTCCTATTTTTAGATTAGTAGTACAAAGTCACGTTACCGCAAATTTTTTTGCTGATGCTCTTGCTCTTGGGGTAATTTAAAATTAACTGCACCACAATTCAAAATAGATAATAAATATTATTAAGCTAATAAGTTATTTAAAATAAATTAAATTTTAATCATCTTATTAATTACTTTCAGATTATATGATTATATTAATTTTATAAAATAATTTTTGATTTAAAAATTTATAAATTTATAAAGTAAAATTTTACCTTTATAAAATTGATTTGATTGAAAGAACTTTTTATTATTGCTTTAGAAATAAATTTCATATTTTTTTATAGAATGAGATAGAAATCTAAATCTATTCATCATATTATGAATCAATGTAATTAATATATTATTAATAATATTTAAATATTTTATTAATTAAAAAAAAATTCCCAATAGTAAAATTCAATAGAAATATTCAGAGAAATTCTACAGAATTTTTATGTATTATTATCACCGGCGTCACGCCCTTCCTTGTTCCATTTTTCATAAGTATCTGGGGACAGATAGTAACAAAATCCTACTCGTCACGCACTATCCGTCACATGTGCGCCACACTTAATTTCAGTCAAGTTGCGTAATGCCGGCCATATCAGGACATTTTTTGGTAGTCCATGGAGCGTTACTGCGCTTTATTAATTTATTTCTAATACGGTCAATCGGTACGACCACTTATTTGTACGACCTAAAATTGGTTCAACTTTTTTAATAAATACCCTGAGAAATTCATCGGAGATTCAAAATCTAATGAGTAATGATAAAACTGTATTAATCATTATTTTCATGTACTGATAAATTACTTTTTTTATTATGCTTATTTAATTCTGTCGGAGTATCTATATTATTTGCTGTATTACATCAATAAGCCACAAAAAGTTTATGCAAGAGTCTATATCATGATGAATTCAGTAAGGTATATAAAGTATATATATTTAGACTTCTCTCAAACTTTCTCAAATTTTCTTGAAACTTTTCTAAAAAACTTATCGCTTTTACAGTAACGAAATGATATTCTCACTTAATTGTTTGATTTCGGGACAAACTTCTGATGATATTTTCAATGTGCCTATTGGCAATTTTTTCCTCAGCAATGAAAATATCAAGGTCAATTTTACTGATATGACCGTTGCAAACTTAAAAGAACAACTTTCTCGCACAAAAGAAGTTATAGGAGCTAAAATAACCAAAATGAATCTTTGGAAAGTCGAACTCAAGACTTATGAAGTTAATAACCTTTCTGCAGAAGATATTGAAAGTCATGAAAGTAGCGAGAAGATGGAAACTACGTCGAATCTCAATGAATATTATAACAATAACGAAGACAAAAATCCTAAAAAGGGGCACCTTCATGTCTTCATAGTCCCCACCGACACTGGTAAGTGTCTTCCAATGCTTTACCTCTCGAACAAAAAATTTGCAGTTGAAACAATGATACATATTTCGTCATTTATTAATAATATCGAATATGCTTTCTGACTGTTATTACAACCATTAGAGCTCGGGAGGAAAAGGAGGAACACGGAAGTAGAAAGTAAGAAATGTTCTCGTTTCTATATGTAACTATATATTTCATTCTATCATTCTTACAAATGTTTCTCTACAGCAACAAGTGGAAAAAGAAGAAAATGGATGGTTAATAGTACCATTTCATATGAAGAGAGTAAATCGGTATACTTTATTGATCCAACGGAATCGAGTGGATCACTTTATGCCATGATTCAGAAAGGAGAATTTTTAGCTTTATATGGTGCACGGGCTTCCGGGAAGTCTACACGAATGGATCAAGCTGTGATTGAGTTGGAAAGCAAAGGCTATGTTTGCATTACGTAAGTTCTATTTAGTAAATTGCATTCAGTATAACTGTTGCTTACATTTTTTTTTCTTCGGAACAGTATATCTTTTGAAAGAATAAATATGAATACCATAGACACATTCTGGTCAGCAGTAGGCGTTGAACTATGTATTGGGTCACCACAACACTTTGGATTAAACGATGTCAAATCTGCTGATGATTTCATGCTAAAGTTTCGGAAAGAACCTTGGAATGATAAACAAGTTGTTCTATTCATTGACGAGTATGATGAATTATTTGGAGCAAATGATGACGTTAAATCCTCATTCCTTGGAACAATTCGTAGCATTAAAAATGCAAAAAGATTCTATGCACTCTGGTCTTCTGTAGTCATCGGTCCCCTAAGTATTTTATTTCCGAAAACAGACAAAAGAAATGTTTCTCCATTCAACGTGTTGGATTCATTGAGGAACCCAAATTTCACTCTGGCACAAGTGGAGTCATTATATAAAGCTTATGAGAACGACGCCAAATTGACCATTGCTCCGGAGGTCATTAAGGATATTTATGAACGGACGAACGGGTATGTGAAGCTAACCGGAAGTAATATGAAATCAATACTAAAATATCAATACTAAAATTTGTTTTTTGTTATTTGACAGGCATGCTGGCCTCGTCTGCCTTTGTGGCAAGGCTATCAGTTATTCCTTAGAAAAGAAACTTGACGAAGGAAGAAGTCTTGATTTCAAACTCTGGTCAAAATTTCTTGTCAGTCCACTAGTGTTAAATAGTATGATTATGTATCTCCCATTTAAAAAGATGGTTGACGATCTCCTTAGGCCTGATGCTAAGGAAGCTTTAGACTTTCTCCGATCTGTATTTGTAGGATTTTTCGATTTTATACAAATTCATAGCACTGATAAAAGAAGACTAGCAGATTTCTTAACTGCCGAGGGGGTGCTCATAAGAGAAAGTAGTACCGAGTTTAGTTACAGAATGTCGTCTATTTTTGTTGATGGATTGGTTCGGCGAGAGGTTATTCCTTTATTGTACAAATCTTGCCCAACCGTTCCAGTTCCCAAAATTGATGGAGGCTTGAAAGTCCTTGATGCTTTAATAGAGTCCATCCGTTGTTTTGATAAAACTATTATTTGTAATGCTTTCAACCGATCATTTAAAACTGCGCTTGTGAAAGTGGATGGTTGTCAAAATCGGATGGTTCCTCGAGAGAGTGTTTACGATACAGAACTAAATAGAATCCTGTTGAACTGGATCGTCAATGAATGTTTCGAGGTCACTGGACAGTGGCACCTAATAGATCACGCTGATAATGACGAAAAAGACAAACATTATTATAGTAATATAACTATTATGACTCCACGTAAAACAGTTGTTCTCGAGCTTTTAGCATCTGCGAATAAAAAAGAACTTAACGAACACTTTGAAAGGGTGCTCAATTATGCAGAAATGCTATCAGCAGATGACAAATGGATAGTAAATTTTACGTGTGAGGATGATGCAACAAAGAACCCCCATTGGCCACCCAATGATAGAAAGTTTGAGAGTGTGAATGTTGTTCATTTTTTTCACGACCGAAAGTTTGAAAATGTACGAATGAGCGCCCGATATATATCTAACTCTGGTACTTTTAGTTATATCACAGATCAAGTTATTCAATTACAATAATTAACTTGATTAGTAATATTTGAGTTGTATTGTAAAATATAGAAAATGTAGAAAATATTTCTTTGTGTTATATATATTACAATTAAATAGCATTATGCTCATTTTCCCATTTATTGTGTTGCGATTCAAAAAGTGAATATAATATAAAAGTCTTTGCATGTTTCAAAATTTCGAAGCCCAGATCTATTAATAAATGATTTTCAGAAATATATGAACGCTTTCAAGGTAGGCCAATAATGCGGGATACATTTCCGGTGCTATTTTTTCTAGCTACAGATTCTCACCCATTCATATTTACAAAATTTTCGTCTATGCGAGAAATTCCACGATACTGATATATACTAAAATGTTTCTAATTATTTATGAATCATATATTCGTGACGATAGAAATCACATGTTCCGGACAAATTTCGGAAATGAAAACCGAGACATCTTGTCACGATCAGTGTCATGTGTAAAAATTTATCGAAACTATATGTGGACACCTATAAATTTTACTATTAAGATTTTCTGATTAAACTATTAATTAACTCCGTCTTATAATAAATTCCATACTAAATTGATACGTTTTTATACTTCTATAAAATTAAAGTCTTCCTATCATTTACACCCCAAATTCCATAAAATATTTTAAATCTCTTTCATGTGACAGTTTGTTTTTTCTAAAAAAGATTTTTCGTGTCTCGAAAATAAATAAAGTAACACTTTCAGACATATCTACACAAGGAAAAAATTTTCTCCTTAGTGTTTTTCAAAAAAGTGAAACTGCTACATTATCTTTCAAGTTTTATATTTTTCAAATGCTAATTAAATGTAAAGTTATCAAACTTTTAAAATTTCGGATTCTTTAACGGTAACGACGTAATCGCCAGTTAATACGAGCCCAAAAATTAAAAGAGAATAAAGACAATGATTTAATATCGTTATATTATTGTATGTATGTATATACTGTATAATATAATAATAATAGGATTAGGAAAATATAATGAGACCAATATTATTATTGTTGCAATGTTGCATGATATTTATTGTTGCATGAAAAAATCTTTAATAGTAAAATTTATAGGGGTCCACATATAGTTTTGATTTAATTAGTTGACCGCACACCCCAATGCAACGCGGAGCGCATTAGAGGATTGTCCCTTTATGTAAAAGCAATATGACAGTTCGTATTGCTCTTAAATAAAAAACTAATTTTTGGTGATTTTTACATAGAATATGAATAGTCATTAATTTAAATGAAATAATTTTTCATTTTGTTTTTAAATGAAGATATTTATTATTATTTATTAATACTTATGTGTGTTTTTAGGAAGATAGTTTAAAAAGCGAAGTTTTTATTTTTTGGGCAGAAATAGCATGGGCTAATGAGGGACTTCAAGAACTGATAACTTTTGGTATACTATTACCGCATATTGAGTAAAACTTACATGTTATTATTTATAGAATATTTGGGAAATTTGAAAATTCATACAATACCTCTATTCTTTCAAAGACAATACAATGAATTACAATCATCAAAATCGATTCATGAATTAGACGGTTATTTATCATTGATTAATTCTATTACAGAAAAACAAAAAAAAAGTAATAATAGAGAATTCAGCGAAAGTTATCAAAAATGAAGCCAATAATAGATATGTAAGAAATAATTTATTTATGTTAACAGATAACAATAGTTAAATGCTATATTTATTTTATTTTATTTAACTATAGCTCAAGAACAAGAAATTAAACATTAAAGTGCAAAAGTTAACTAATATGAAGGATCAATTGCTTTCGCTCTCAATTACGAACATTTTCTTTAGTCAGGTGATAGATACAAATAATAGTTCAATCATATGGGAAAAACTTTTGAGAATTGGTCTATTTTCAAGAATTGCAGATGCTGAATATGTCTCTAGCTTGGAGGATGTAAATTTTTATGATACTTTTAGGCATTTTTTGATCACGAAATCTTTAATTAGTGAAATCTCGAAGATAATTGAAAGTCTTATGTGTACTGATTTTGACTGTTCCGAGTTAAACAATACTAAAACAATTGTATCTAAATGGTAATTTATCTTTATTTTTATATTATTTCTATACTTAACATTATTATAAACATATTATTCCGCTCGCAGGGTATGTAACTGAAAAATCCTCCAAGAAAATACTCAGAATCAAACTATCTGTTAGATTTATTTATTAGCGACTTACTAATTGATTTATATTTTGAAAAGTAAGCTACTTTACTATTATTATATATATTTATATTTAATTTAATTATGTTAAGTTGTTTATCATTAAAGGGGAAAAGTAATATTAATAGTCCAGTTATTTTCAGTTATTTTATATTATGGTATTACTCCAGATTACTCAAGACTTATGTCATCGGATTTGATGCATTATATAACAAAAAAAAAATTTTAATGTTAGTTGGTATGCGAAGGCAACTTATTTGCACAACATTATATATGGACTTTATAAAGTTCACGACGTAAATATTATACATCGAGATTTACATAGTGAAATATTCTTTTAACTGAAGAGTAAAATATGTGATTTGGGAACGATGATAATGATGAGATTTATGGCATAATTCCTTATGTCGCATCAGAGGTTTTGCAAGGAAAAAAGTATACCAAAGCTCCAGACATATATATTTTTGAAGATAAGTTTTGATTGGCTATTTTCGTTTAATGATATTTATTTTGTAGGAGTAGTTTTTTTTGGTAAAAACGCCGTTAGACGCGAATACAAAAGTACAGAAGGTAATAAACGGGAAGCTTTTTTTTTAATTAAGAAACGTTTTGTTGGAATGTTTCTTTTTTTGTAAAGATGCCGTTAGACGCGAACGTAAGATAAATAGCAAGTTAAGTGGGGTGGGAAAGATTTTTTTATTAGTTAAGAACGTTTCTAACGAAACGTTTCTCTCTTTTTTTGTATGAATACCGTTAGGCGCGAATACAAGGTAGATAAATTTCATTTTATGATATTGTTAATTTTACAGTTGTAATATTAATTTCTTTACAGTTTAATTAGTAAAATATTTTTAAATTTTATTAAACGCGTAATTTAAATTTTTATAATTTTATCTTAACCAATCAAATTATTTATTCCAGGGTGCAGGGAGGACCCCGAAAAATACATATAAAAGTCAGAGATGATCGGCAAAATTTTGCCTTAAAATAAGCAAATGTTTTTACTAAGATCAATACGCATCTGACTTTATAATTTATATTAGAATAAGCAAATTTTTTTTATGACATTTGTATATTAAAAAAATGAAATCATGGCTTTTTTTTAATTTAATTAGTTGTATTTAGAATATACTTCCAGTA